CCACCACATGGCCAAAGGCTTAAAGCTGGAAGGGATTCCTTTGGTTTAAAGGAGGTGATTCTCAAACTTTGATATACATCAGAATCCTCTGGGAAATCTGCCACAAATCAGATGCCCAAGGGCGGAGCCAGACTACTGAATCAGACCTTGCTTGCCCTGCATTTTTAAACTGCCAAGTAATAGAGGTACATAAATAGGTCATGAACAGGTTCTCCAGGGCCAGGTCCTAGAATAGGGAGGGGCAGGTTGCTGATGCAGGAAGCACCTTCTTCTGAGAGCCCTGGACATTCCAAGTTCGACTAGAAAGGAAATGGCCCCTGAGATAGTCCTGAGTCTCGAGATACCTCTCTGGTTCTGGAACAAAGGCTCTCTGCTCTCGGCAGGAGACAGTGGAACTGAGCTCGGGTCATCTGTGTGGCTTTGGGCAGGTCACTTAGCCCTCTGTACCTCAGTTTGCTCAACTGTCAAATGGGGGCTCTCACACTGCAGCCCATCTCCCAAGGGCCACGGTTACACAGGCTAGGGGTGTGGGTGTTTTGTGAACCATAAAGGAGCCATCAGGACAGTGGCCGTCACCGCCAAAGGGCATTCGTTGAGAGATGGGTCTGGGCAGACAGGGCAGAGACACAGCCCTAACTGTCCTCCCTCTCACCTGTGGTCCAGAAGCCCTCTCCCAGAGATGCTTCTCTCCTCCTGCAGGGCTGCGGTCCTCTAGGCAAGGGTCTTGGGGTTCAAAGTAGCGACACTCCTGGCAGAATTGCAAACATGTTCACACAAAGGCTGATGTGCAAGTGTTGGTGGCCACATTATTTGTAATGGCCAAAGGGTGGAAATAACGTCAATGTCCGTTGAGTGATAAATGAACAAAAAGTATGGTGTATCCACACAGTGGAATAGTATTCTGTCATAAACAGGAATGAAGTGCTGATCTATGCTTCAACGTGGAGGGACCTGGAAAACATTCTGCCAAAGTGAAAGAAGCCAGACACACAAGGCCCCATGCTGTGGGATGCCATTCACACGAAATGCCCAGACTGGGCAAGTCCATAGAGACAGGAAGCCAAGGTTGCTGGGGGTTGGGGGGGTACAGTCAAGTGACTGCTAATAGGCATGGGGTTTCCCTTTGGGGTGTTGAAAATGCTCTGGAATTAAATAGTAGTGGTGGTTGTTCACCTTTGAGGTATACTAAAACCACAGAATTGTGCGCTTTAAAAGGGTAAATTTGATGGTGCATGAATTATATATATATATAAAGAAATAGCAAGGTGTAGCCCCAGAGCCTAGCGAGCTGGCCGTTCCGTTCCCCAGCCACACTGCCTGGTATGTGGCCTGCCATGAAGCGCATGCAGAGAGGGCCTTCCCCATCCACCATCTATCTTCGCTTAGTCCCACTCTCTCCCCTGGGAGTACTGAGGAGAGCAAGGCAGAGAACACAGCACTTTACAAACCCCCCCTCATGTACCTCATCTGAACCACCCTGACAGGGAGGCATTATCATTGTCCTGGGGGAAAGAGAGGAAACTGAGGCCCAGGGAGTGCAGGGGCCTGGCACAGGTCATGTGATGAGCCGGCGGCAGAACCTAGGTCTCCTGACTTGCAGCTCAGAGCTCTTTCCCCTGCTTTTGGAACCCAGGTGACAGGCTGGGACGGGATCAGGAACAGGGGGCCTTCCTTCCAAGGCAGGCCGCCTCAGCCTCATCCATTCGTGGGGTCATGCTTTCCTTCCCTCATCCCACAGTTTTTCCAGAGCGTCTCCTCTGTTCCACGCCTGTGCTTGGGTCAGGAGGTGCAGCCGACGTGTGGCCTCTACTCTCACGGCCCTCACGGTGAGGCAGTGCTATCCCTTTGCTATTCTACAAATAGAAGAGGGGGGCACAGAAGGACAGCAGCAGAGACCATGTCTAGGGACGTGCGGACAGGGATGACCCCAGCAGCGCACCCGCTTGGACACGCACATGTAAATGCACGGGCAAATACTGGCACTCGTGCCCAGACGCACACCCTCACATTCAGCCTGGTATTTCTCGATATGCAAAGGCTTCTTCATTAAGGATAATAGGTACTACATTCTTGTTCAAAATTCCAAAGGGACGAGGGGGTATGTGGGTGAAAAGTCCCTGCCCCAGAGGTAACTAGGACAACTAGCATTCGGTGTGTCCACATACGAACAAGTGCATGTCCCCTTTCCCAGCACAGTCAGGGATGTTCTGCCCACGATGTCTTGCCCTTTGCTTTGTCCTGACCAGTGACTGTGGCCATCTTCCCCCACCAAGCCAGGGAGATCTTCCTCATACTTCCCGAGGGCTGCCCCGTGGCCCACTGTGTGGATGTTTTGAGAATTTGTCTCAGCGGGCCCTGTTGATGGGCACTGGAGGGGGTGCCGAGGTTTTGATAGTACCAAAACATGATGCTTCGGGTAATAATCTCGTTCACGTGTCATTTTGCACAAGCACAAGAAACTCGCAGTGAGTTGCTGGGTTAAAAGTTTAGTCACGATTTTAGGTTGTCATAGCTGTTGCCAAATCGTCTTTCCAGAGCTTGTACAAAATCACCTTCCCACTGGCCGAGAAAGAATTCGTGTGCGCGTGAGTCAGGGCGGGGAGCCAGGTGGGTTTGTGGGGGAACGCCACCAGACGGGTTCCCGAGCAAGCACCTTTCCCACTGAGGGTAACCAGAGATTTCGCTGCTCCGGCTTTATCCTCACATCTAGGAAGTCCCTACCGCGTGAACAGAAGAGGTTTGTCCTCGTGTGGGAGGCGATGGTCCCTCCAACTGTGGTCCCTGCAGGTTTCTGCAAAGGGTCAGTGGGTGCCTTGGGCCCATACTGGGCAGGAGGGTGGGTTGCAGAAACCAAGTCCAGGTGAAGTCCAAGACAATTTGGGGCTGTTCGGCCTGGATGGGGCAGATGGGCTCAGATCCCCGTTGCTGCCCCCCAGGTCCCTCCAGGCCCCTCCAGGCCGCTCTGAAGGCAGGCAGCCAGGCCTCTGGAGCCCCAAAGGCAGCAGCAAGAATCCTCAGGGAGCCACCCGCTGCAAGTTTGAGCTCGATGACAGGATGAACTTTCACCGTGGCAAAGCTGAGCCAGGGTGGAAAGGGCTGCCCCGCGGCCGGGAGGGCGATTGCGGGGACTGGACAGTTCTATCAGGGGGCCTCCTGCCAGGGGCTCGGGGCATGGCCCAGGGGCCTCAGGGGCCTTCAGACTCTGATGGCTATGGCTCCCAGAGTGTAGGGCAGTGTGAAGGGTGGGCCTGCGGTCCTGGCAGGGTGGGGGAGGGATTGCCCCCATTCACACACACACACACACACACACACACACACACACACACAATCACAGCCCGCAGCAATCATCTTTGCGGACTGGACCACGGAGCAGCCTGTGCAGTGATGGGCGGGCTGAGAACAGCATTTGTTAGCTCATTTCCTGCCCCCCCACCCTCATCCCCCTTCACCTGGGAGCTGCTAAAGACAACAGCTCTCCTCCCCCAGGCCATCTGCAATAACTGGTGGTCCCTACCTCCCGCTCCATGCTGCAGGCCTGCCCAGACCCTGGCAAGTTGCTTGCCAGCAGAGCCCATGGCTGGGGGAAGAGAATGGTCGAGGGGCAATGAAGGTCTGGCGTAGGGGGAGCGGGGAGCCCCAGGGGGACACTTACCTTGTCTGGAAGGGTAAATAGGCCTGGAGCCAGCCTTCTGGACTGCATGCTCTTTCAACCACTCCTGCTATATCTTGCTAATGCTCACTCCCAGGGCTTAAGTGCCCATTTTTCTCATACTGAGTTTTGTTAAACCCGGGCTCTTCCAGCATGGTGGCGCCCCCGTGTCCTTTTGATGCCTTCAAATGATATCTGGTCCTGTAGTAATCTTGGTAATTTCAGGGTACCACAGACCCGAGCTTCTCAGCAGTCCTGGGAGGTAGGCAGGACAGGGCTAAATGTCCCCGTTTTACAGAGGAAGAGCCTGAGAGGGAAGCAGTTTGTCCAAAGCCAGCCGTGAATCTGAGACGGTGTCCCTGGATGCATTCACATACTGTGTCTCAGTATTCCTGAGAAGCTGAGGCTCAGAGAGGGGGAGCGACTTGCCCAAGGTCACACTGATGGGTGGCATGGTCAGGGTTGGCACGCAGGTCCCGCTCTGGCTCACTGGGTTATTGTCCTTGCAGCTGGTCAAGACTGCTGAGCTGGACCCCTCCCGGAACTACCTTGCGGCCTTCCACCCCCACGGGGTCCTGGCGGCCGGAGCCTTTGTCAACCTGTGCACAGAGAGCACGGGCTTCCCTTCACTCTTCCCCGGCATCCGCTCCCATCTGATGATGCTGACCCTTTGGTTCCGGGTCCCTTTCTTCAGGGATTACATCATGTCAGCGGGTGAGTCTTTACACCTCTGGGTAGTCCAGGAGGATGAGGCTGGAGGCACAGGAAGAGGCATCTTAGGGAAGACTGCCAACCCTTCCATACTTCTTGCAAGTGCATGTGCAATGGGAGAAGTAGCTAGACCCAAAGAAATACTCCCCACAGCCGCATGCGGGGCACTGAGCTCAGTGAGGGTGTGGGGAAAAGGGAGAGGACTTAGTTCCAGTCCTCAGGGGACTCCCAGCTGGAGGGGATGGGGTAGGGACCCGGGCCTCTGGGGCCACTTTTGGTGCTCTCTCTTGGGTCTCATCCACCCCACAATCCCTGCCCCCTTCTCCCGTACCTGACCACCTTCCTCTGTTCCCAGGGCTCGTCACGTCAGACAAGGAGAGCGCTGCTCACATTCTGAGCAGGAAGGAAGGTGGCAATCTGCTGGCCATCATTGTAGGGGGCGCCCAGGAGGCTCTGAACGCCAGGCCCAGATCCTCCACGCTGTTGCTACAGAACCGCAAGGGCTTCGTCAGGCTCGCCCTGATACACGGGTATCTGGGGAGAGGGCTCTCGGCTCCAGGGGAAATTGGCAGGAAGACAGCAGAGACTAGTGCAGATTGTATTTTGGTGGGGAGATTCTCAGTCTATTTACAGCGAAGATTATATTTTGGTGAGAAATGTACTATGGCATGCCCAAATACCCAGAGAAGATTTCAGAAGGGAGGCGTGGTGATCAAAGGCACTAGGTGGGAAGGGACATGTCTGCCCAAAGCTGGCACTGGATCTGACATCTATGGGATCTGGGAGGATGGAGTTCGGGGCATATCACAGAGCTGCTCTACTTCGAAGCATCTTTGAAGAACACAAGCTAGCTGGGGCCGGGGAGATTTTTCTACAAAACTCACAGATGTTTTATATCTGGGAGGACTCTCTGAAGCATTCTGGTCTATCTGTCCTAATGTGGCCCTGAGAGGGGTCAGGACCTGCCCAAGGTCAGAAAGCAAAGCTATGGCAGGGCTGGGAGACAACCCAGGCCTCCTACTGCTGACCCAGGGCTCTGTCCTCTGCCCCAGTTCCTGGTTGCTCCGTCCCTGCAGGAAGCTAGCTGGGGCCTTCTGTGGGACCTTCCACTCGTATTCTCTCCTGTCTCTCTCCAGGGCAGCCCTGGTGCCGATCTTCTCCTTCGGGGAGAATGAGCTCTTTGACCAGGTTGCGAACTCTCCTGGCTCCTGGTTGCGCAGGATCCAGAACCGGCTACAGAAGATCCTGGGCATCTCCCTCCCGCTCTTCCATGGCCGTGGCATCTTCCAGTACAGCTTCGGTCTCATGCCCTACCGCCAGCCCATCACCACCGTGGGTGAGCCGTGAGCCGGCCTGGCCAGGGGTGGGGGGTGGGGCCTACAGGGAAAGAGGCCTGGGCTATGGGCTGCAAGGGGACATGGAGATGAATGAGACACATCCTTGCCCTCCTGGAGCTCACATTCTAGACCGGGAAACAGACACTGCTTATCAAGCAGATAAGCCTTAATAGAAGGCACTGTGGGATGGGAACTGTAACAGAGGCACAAAGAACAGTAGTCACTACTGATTACAGAGTACCTGCTGGGTGGCAGGCAGGTTCCCTAACATGCAGCAGCTCGATCTATCCTAACAACCTTCAAGATAGAGACTGTTATCCCGATTTCACTGATCGCAAACTGAGGCTCCGAGAAGTTAAATAACTTCCAAAAGATCATGCTGCCTTTGAGTAACAAGGTTGAGGATTGGATCAGGATCTATTTGAGTTTTTATTGTGCTAGAGAAGGAGGGTTTAACTCTGACCCAGAGACTCTAATAAGGCTTACTGGAAAAGGTGGAGACAGGGAAAGGGCATTCCAAGTCAATTAGAATTGTGTGTAGAGTAGGAATCGCTATTCTTGGATTAGAGCCTGAGGGATTTTCCTGTAAATAATGGGCATGAGCTTTAGTGCATGGACTCAGCACCATCTTTTTCAGTTCTTGGGACCCCTCATTTGCTTTCTTCTTGGATCCCAGCTGGACCCCTCTGACAAAGCCTATAGAGGGACGTTGGTTCATCTTTATCCATCCATTTATTTGTCAGTTGAGCACAGACCTGGTGTACCCCCTACACCATGACTTTCCCCATGTCTTGTGGCAATATTTGCATGAGTGTTAATACTGCTGCTGCCACCAGAGCTATTCCCAAGAGGAGAAGGCAGGGGAGCTACCGTCCCAGCCAGGCAGAACCAGAGGAAGGAGGTCACTTAGGGCTTCCCTAGGACAAAGCAGGCACTGCAGGCCAGATGGAGAGAGAAAGAGGAAGAAGAGCTGCGTGGGGTGTGCGCCCACCTCATCCTAGATCTATAGGCACTTCTAATCGTGGCATCTTGGGCTCCCAGAACCACGTGGTCAGGAAATTAAGAGCATATCCCCAGGATTTAAAAACTGGAACAGATTCTTCCTGGCTATGTGACCTTGAACAAGTTACTTAGCCCTCTGAGCCTCGTTGCCCCACCTGTCAATGGGGAATAGTAAGAGCTTCTATCCCTGTAGGACTGTCACGAGGATTAAAGGAGAAAATGTGTGGCAAGCGCCTGGCACATTCCATTGCATATTGCAATGCCCATGGGTGTTATTATATCAGAATCCTGGAGTTACCATAACATCTTAGAACCCATCACCCAAAATAGGGCTGAAAGGGATGGCAGTAAGAGCACTTTGCTGCAGGAATGCCCATGGGGAAGAGCCCCTGCAACCCACTGGTTCCTGCTCGGGGCCAACACCCACATTTGTGTCTTGCAGTGGGAAAGCCCATTGAGGTGCAGAAGACACTGTACCCCTCGCAGAAGGAGGTGGACAAGCTGCACCAGCGCTATATCAAGGAGCTGTGCGACCTCTTCGAAGCCCACAAGCTCAAGTACAATGTCCCCGTGGACCAACACCTGGAGTTCTGCTGAGCGCCTCCCCAGAGGGTTGGCCTTAGGGAGTCCAGCGGGAGGTGCTGTGATCTGAGAAGTCTTCCTGGAGGCATCTGTTGAACATATCTTCTCAGCCTTCCCAAACTTATGCAAATCCAACCACACCAGGACCCCAAGGGGCGAGTGGGAGGGCTCACCAGGCTCTGGCGTGGGTGGTTTGCACCCCTGCTGTGAAACCCTTGAGAGCCTCCCTCTCCTCCGCCTGCTCCTTTGGGAATGGGAGAGACGGCTGGAAGAGAGGAATTTCTGAGGTTTTGGTCCCCTGTTGTCATGTCATTCAGGAGACAGAGAGTGGCAACTATCACCAGGTTTTTCTTCCCTGACCTTGAGTCACAGCACAAAAGAAGCTGCCTGCTCCAGCCCCATCTCCTACAAGCTCCCTCATCCTGCTCCATGGATGTCCCCACTTCTCCCTCCCTGCGCCGAGGGCGGGGTGGCTTTGAAGCCTCTGTGCTCATGCTAAGCACTTGTGCGTTTTGGGTTCCTCTGAGCTGTAGACTGGCAGCCACAGGGGCCCAAAAGGTGGAGGAGGAGAACTGTGCTCTGTCACTCCCCTATAGCAGTGGGCAGACCTTTTTGCCCTCCTTCTGAGCCTCAGTTTCCCTGACTGACTAAAATGAACCCTGAGTCTCAGCTCTGACATTACAGAGGCGAAGAGCTCTGGGAGGCACCTCTTACTCGTCCATTGTAATTTCAGCCCCTGACCTTGGCACAGAAAGGTTGGGGGGGTCACCATAAACGTCAGTTCAACAAACGAAAGGATTCTACTTTAGCCTTCTTCTGTTCCTCCGCATTCCCCAACAGAGAGGGCTCATCAACCCCACCCCCTCTTTGGACCCCCAGCCTGGCCCTGTGGCCCTGCAGCCATACCTCATCTTTCCAGAAGGTGGATGAGACAGGGCCAGAGAATGCCATGTTGGCTCATCCTTCCCGATCCGTCGGCCCCAAGCTTACCACCCCTGGTCCTGTTCTGCTGGGCAAGAAAGTTGAGAGGCTATCTTAGGACACAGGGCAGACCAACACAGAGGATGAAGACCAAATACAAGGAGTGCGTGTTTGTGTGTGTCTGCAGGGTGGGTGAGACGGGGACAGATGCCCTGACGAGAAGATTCTGGATTCCTAGGTTTGGGACATATGTCAATAGTGAAGGGCAGGATGCACAGCGGGGACCACACTCATGCCTCCCCTCACCCTCCAGCAGGGAAGCAGCATCCTTTCCCTCCAGGAGCAAATCGTACCCATAACTACAACAGGAGGGACAGCCGAGAGGTGTAAATTTGGGTTTAAATCCTGGCCCATCCCTTTTCAGTGACTCTGGGCAAGTCCTGTCATTTCCAAACCTCAATTCTGCCATCTGAGAAGGACTACCATACTCACCTCTAGTGTTGTGAACATAGTAAGATAATATTTTGAATGTATGAGTCACTGCACGTCATGTCTGGAATGGTGTGGAATACGTGTAAATTAGGATTCAGGGGATAAAGGTACCCTGTGTCTCAGGAAGGTGCCTGGTATTCTAAGAGGCAGTATGCTAGAGGGCTCACAAGGGAAGCGGGAACAAAGAGCGGTGGGGGTCAGAGGAGGGAGTGATGATTTCCAGCCAGGAGGACGTGGAGGAGGTGACAGGTGGGCAGGGCTGTGAAGGAAGGGCAAGATTTGCAAAGGAGAGTACTCGCCCATTATGGTTCTCTATTGCTGTCTAGTGAGCCAGGCCAAAACTGAACGGCTGAAGAAGCAAGGAGTTATTCCTCACAGTTCTGTGGGTTGGACAGGTGGCTCTTCTCAGTCTGCCCTGGGCTCCGTGCAGGTGCCTTCAGCTGGGACTGGGCCGGCTGGTGGGGCTGGCTGGGCCTCTCATTGCAGGTGGGTCTGATGTGTCTTCAGCATTCAGCGGTGGCTGGAATTTGTAAGAATGAGAGCAAGGCTGCAAGAGCTCTTAAATACTGGGCTGAGCAACTTGCAGAGTCACTTCATCCCATTCTGTTGATCAAAGCAACTCCTGAACCCTCCCCCGCCGCCCCACCTCGGGGAAGTTTCAGGGGTGAGGAATAGACTCGGCTTCTGCCTGGAAGGAGCATCAGTGTCACAATACAATGGGCTGGAGGTACATGAAGAGATTCTGTGGCCATCTTTGCAAACAATCTACAAAACAGCCGTAAATGAAAGCCTGCAGCAGGACTTCCGCCCTCCCCCACATTTAGTGGAATTCCCTGTGTGACCATGATAAGAGCTGTAGTTTATCCCCAGGGCACCAGCTCATTCTCGGCCGCTGCCCTGTCCCCATCTCGCTCTCCCCAGTCCATCCTCAGTGACCAGACAGGGTGTAGGGGCCATCACTGGTCAGAGGACACAGATCGTGCTGGTGACCCTGCAGGGAAGGAGCCAGGAATGAGCATTTCCGCTTCCCTCTCTCCCCTCCTTCTTCTGCCAAGTTTCCCCTCTGTCTGAGCCCAGTCGCAAGCTGGAGGGCACAAGGGCCTGCGGCTGCCGTGCACACAGGTGGGCCTCCAGGAACGAGCAGGGTGGAGACAGGTGGACAGTGCATCTGCAGGGGTCAGTGGAAGACAGATGTCCACCTTCAAGTCCAAGTTTCTTAGCCTGCCTTTTGCCACTCTTCCATCATCTGGCCCAGTTTTCTCCATCCTCATTTGTCCCCCTCCCTTAACATGGGCTCCCATGATACCAAACCATTTGCCGTTCCTTGTATGAGATTTGCTCTCTTTCTCCGCTCTAGGCTTTACCCATGCTGTTCCCTCTGCCTGGAATGGCATCTCCCCCTCCCCACCTCCCCCTTTGTCTAGAAAATTCCTATTCATCCTTCAATACTGGTTTCCTCTATGCAAGAAAGCCTTCCCTAATGTCCCTGGTTGAGGTATGGGTTCCACGGGGTGCCCCAGACTTCCCTTTCCTCTGCCATGGCATTCAGCACCTGGGTGACTGTTGGGTGGTCACAATCCCATGCATAATACTTCTGCCTCCAGTGGTCTCCCTCCAGCCTACCCACATGTAGCACCTGCCTCCACTGTCCAAACAAAACCCAACACCCTAAAATAGTCTCCGACGCCTCAGGATAATGCCCAAACTCCTCCTCAGCCTCCAGAGCCTTCCTCATCTGCCCCTAGACCTCACCAGCCTCCCCTGCTGGATCTCCTCCCCTGCACCCCATTACCCTGGCACCCCTCTCTGCTTGCTGAGTGCACGCTGCTCTCGCATCGCTGTCCTAGGGCATGCTGTTCCCTTTCCTTGAAACATGCTTCCTCCTAGACCTGGTTGACTTCACTCATCCCCAAAGGGCACCTCTTTTGTCGGCCATCAGCACACCCCACCCGCCCTCTTACCCTGCCTCCCACCTGACTGCCCTGAACGAGAGTTAGTTACCCCTCTTTGGGGCTAGTTTTAGGGGTGAAAGGGTCATTAATGGGTGAGTGGACTCCTCTGTCTCCCTTTAGACTGGGAAAGCCCTGAAGGCCAAGACCACATCCTGGTCACCCTCAGCCCCACCCAGCACCCAGCACAGGACCTAAGGCACCTCAGCACCCCACTGGATGAGAACTGGTTGCATAAATGAATCCTCACATGGCACTTCCTCTTGGTTCAGCACACTAGGCCTGGGGCAGGGATGAGGCCGAGAAGACCCATGCCTTGCCTTTGGAGGTCATCAAATCAGTTCTCTATTGCTACATGACAGATACTCCAAAACTTAGCTGCTTTAAACCACAAACATTATTTATTGTCTCACAGTTTCTGAGGTCAGGAATCTGGGAGTGGCTTCCCTAAGGGGTTCTGGCTCAGGTTTCTCATGAGGTTGCAGCCACGCTGTTGGCCCGGCCTGCAGTCCCAGAAGACTTGAGTCGGGCTGCAGGATCCACTCCCAAGCTCACCCATGTGGCTGTTGACGGGAGGCTCTGTCCTCCTCTTTGCAGGCCTCTCCTGCCAAGGGCATGGCTTCTCCCAGAGCAAGTAAGGAGAGAAAGGGACCACACTACCTTTTATGACCTAGACTCTGTATCACACACCATCAATTCTGCCTTATCGTATTGGTGAGATGTGAAGTCACTAAGTCCTGTCACACTCCTTACGAAGGTGTGAATCCCAGGGTGTGAGGCCCCTGGGGGCCAGCTTGGAGGCTAGCTACCACAGTGACGGTGGATGAGCCCTCCGAGACCAGACTGGGCCACACCATGCTGTGTACTGCTGCGCGAGGTAGCTTGCCTGGCTGGCCATAGAGAGGGTCCCCAAATGGGTGGGGCACAGCGTGAGCAGAGATCGGGGGAGGGAATTTTGGCCATGACCCCCTGGCCTGGCTGGGATGGAGGAGGAGGTGACCATGAGATTTAAGGGGGTCCGGATGGGGGAGGGGAGTCGTGAGAGACTTGGGGGGCCAGGGGGCAGAGAATTCTTCCCTTTTCATGGTGAGCCTGGTGGCCTCCCATGGAAGACCACGGCAGCACAAGAAAAGAGCCTAGGGCCTGATCTCAGAGGAGGGCTGCCCCAGAGAGCTGCCCAGTTGGGAACAGCCACACTGGACTTTGAGCAAAACATGTCCTTTTCCTGAGCGATTGCAGGTGTTTGTTTAGTGGTTGGCCTCCCCAGCCAACACAGTGTGCCAGAACCGCACATATAAGGGGTCAGTTATTAACTTAGTACCTCCCGCCTGACACTCCTCAGGGCCCCCAGAGCCCGCCTCGGGGCCCCCCGCGTGGTGCGGGAGAACAGCTTCCCAATGGCAGCACGCACACAGATAAATTCGGACAGCCAGAGGACGACAGGGTTTGTCAGGTGTGGTAGCGAGGGTCAGAGGCCCGTCAGGGTGGGGTGCGCTGGAGTCTTCCAGAACTCACGCTGCCCTTTGGCCTGGGGAGAAGTTCTCAGATGGCATTACCCACTGGGGCCCAGCCTATGTGACACTGCTGTCTGGTGCCGGGTGGGACAGGGGTCAGCTAGCACAGGGCCATTGGCAGCCACGTGGCCCGGGCTGC